AAGCTTATGCGATCAAAAGTAATACAAATCCAAATATAAGAGGTAAAGCTGCGACAGTGGCAATAGAAGGACACGACCATTTCTGTGCGCTGTTCAAGCCAAGGGATTAATAGTTCTCTTTTTTGGTACGGGAAACAGTTCTCCATCATATGTATTTATATAGGTTCATATAATGGTTGATTTGGAGTGCTGAATAAGTTCGCAGCAAAAACTCTGTATACAACAGTAATATGCAAATATATATTTTTAGTGGACTTGTGAGGAACGTCAGCTTCCACTGTGCAGCAGTCCACGAGATTAGAGGACTTCATCGTTTGGAAGAAATGCACTGAGGTAGTTTCTAATAAAATTCTCCTAGCTGTTTCGAGCTCAATTATAAATAAAGTAAGGGCACTACTTTTTGAGAATTTTAGAAGCAAAAGTTTGATCTTTCAAAACTTGCATGATGCGTTTTGTTTTTCTAGTTTTTTTTTGTTTCGTTTTTCTCAGTATTTCTCGTAATTTTAGCAACGTGTCTTCAAAAACGTCGTCACTGTTGATAAAGCTAGCCAGAGAAAGGTCTTGATGACTGAGCTGAGACGTTCCCCATGATTTCATCGAAGCAGTCGTAGTGAGTGTAAAGTATTAGGACCCGAGTTTTCGATTACATAATAGCTGAACTTCGAATTATCTCATAAATATTTGTGCTTCTAATCCAGTACACTCACACGCTTAAGAAATTCCTATGCTTCTCAAGATCTAGCCATAGATTTGTTCAGTATGTATTTCTCTTACACCTCTATTCAGTTCTATACTGCATTGACTGCAGGTTGTTCTAAGCAATCAAAACCTCAGATTTCTGCAATGTTGAAGTGTTGAACTCAACTGAGCAGTTTGCACTCAAAAAGTAGGCACCACGTGCAAATTAAGGTTGAATCGCGTGTGTCATTTCAACAATTTATCGTATTTTCTTAAACTGTGTGCCCTAGATTTTTACTCCGGGGCAATTTGCTAATTCAGTGCAAATCAGAAGAGGAAGCAATTTTTTACCATAATTACTGATTACTACTACTCACTAACCAATCACATCATCTTGTGCCAAACTCCACCCACTTGAAGGGATTCGTCTAGCTGTAGCTACGGATTGGACCGTTTTATATGTAATGATATTGTACTAGATATTATTCACTCCCTTATTCTTTTCACTTAACTAACTCATAACAGTTTGCTGGAAGCTCCTTTACAATTGAATTTCATAAGCTTTAATGATTTCCAATTTATACTATAATTGTGTAATTCTTCCTAGGTGTATAGGCCCGGTGTCTTCCTAATTAGAGTTCATTTAAAATGTGTTTTATCTTGAAAGTATCTTGTTCTATATGTTCCTACGAGCCAATTTTGGTGTATTCAGGCCTACTCATTTAAATTTAAAAAAGTGAGATTTGTATATTTAACATTGCCAGTGATGTGAGTTCTCTCTGGGAGTTGTATTCGTATTTTGTGGCAAATAGACCGCATTAGAATAAATTTTAACGAACAGAGACAAAATTTTGGAAATGTGCTATGTTGGAGTAGAGAAACCATTTTTTTGGCATGTCACCAATTTGGTAAGAAAATGTGAGCGCTGAAAATTCACAATGCTGGGAGAAGTAAACCCATACAAGAAAATGGCACATCTGTGTGGTAGTTAGAACGGTATACCTCTTCCTATTCTCTGCCCTCATTCACACGCGTGCTATTAGTGTTGACTTCTCCGAATGTCTTAACACAACCACGGAGTATCTTTTTTTGGTTTTTGGTGGACCGGGCGCAATTTTGTCACCTCATCTCACCTCATATCCGTAGATTTGGCATAGTAAATGAACAAAAACATAAATAACACAAGATAATTTCAGTAAACTGTAAGACGATAATTATTCTGATAACAAGTCAGGTAAAAAAAATTACAACAGACTGTTGGTAGGTAAATATCAGCTGACAGCCCATATGGGCTGCCACCGGCGTGAATATGGTATTCTTTGACGTCAAAGGCCAGTGCGCAGATAGTGAAAGGACATTGACCGACTCAGCTTCGAATGCGAAAAGAGAAGAGGATGGGCGTTAGCCCAACCATAAACCGTGTAGAAGGGGCAGCCAAAGGGGCACCCATTGCCAATGGGAAAGTTGAAGTGGCAAGCACTGATACCACCTTACTTTGCAATCGAGCGTTCGCTAAGGCGTCCGCGTCCGCGTTGTCGCGTAATTACGCGACTCGCGGAGATTCTGTTGGCCGACGCGTCCGCGGTCGCGTTGCGCGTAAAGCCGAGACTCGCAATCGTCTGACATCGTCCACCCAGCGAGTGCTTCCTCGAATCGATTGCTTTCATGTAGTTAGTGGTCGTCAAACTGACTTGGGCCGACAAAATTAATTGAAGGGGAACAAGGAGGAATGGATTCAGGTCGTAGCTTCATTAAACAAGCGCCCTCTAACCACATAACAAGAAGGTACAAGATGTAAGAAAAAAGGGATAAAACAATTAATGCTGATTAAAGGCGCGCTCCGGGATTAGTCGCGCTCACCTATCCCATCCCCGAAAGCAGCAGAGAGGCGGACAAGCGTTGATGTCGCACCCCCTTTGCGGATTGAAAGTGCGCGGCAACGACGCCAGAAGCTTTCCTACCCGCAACTCACACCTTTGTCTGCAAGCCCCGCCTTCCGATGCCATTTGCCACGTGACGTAGCTTGAAAAACGCGGGCGCCCTTGAGGTAGCGGTTACATTGCGGCGCAATGTCACTGGCACTAGAACACAAGGGCCGTATGCTGAATGTTTGGGTAGGGACGGGGATGAGTAAATGTTGGGGAGGTTCGTCGCAAGACCCCAGCGGAACGGCCGCACCTTTGACTTTGCAGCTTTGTTTCCATTCTTACATCGCTGTTTTGGTGTAAAAAAAGGTATTTACGCTGGGAAAGCTGCAAAATCTAAGGTGCGACCTTTGCCCAGTGGCTCCTGCGGCGAACCTCCCCAATATATACCCATCCCCGTCCCCTACCCAACATTCAGCATACGGCCCCTAGTGGAGCTAGGCTCATGAAACTCATTTAACACCCGCCCTCCTCTGTCCCAAGGTAGATTGCGGCTGAAAGAGAAGAGGTTCCTATTCAGGGCGTGATCGGGGGTTTCTTTTTGCTTTCTTTTTCTTTTCCAGAACATCTCTCTAGATTCATAACTGAACGTTTTTCCACACCCATTTTTGTCCTTGCCTTTAACCTTCGTATGGAGCGCCGCGAGATCCAACTTCCATCAACAATCATAACGACATTTGCGTGCGTATTAGGCTTGCGGTTGCAGGGCTATCAGTTTGCATAATTCAGTATTTTTTATTCCACGATGGGTTTTTTTGCTATTAAAGGAATCTTGCGCGGAAAATTCTTGCACTCTTTCCTAACATGAATATGTCAGTTGTGATCACTGGAAATAGCACACAAAGTTTCACGCATGAAGATTCGGTTTCTGAAGAGAAACAAACGTACAAAAACTACACGTTATGGACCATCGAAGGACCAGGAGGCAGAGCCAGGCGAGGCATGGAAAGAAGACGGCGTTTGGCCGGCTACGTACCAGGCGACGCAATGAGAGAATCGGGTTAAAGCGCGCGATTTCGGAGAGTGGAGACAAATCGATCGATGGAATAGGATGGAGTAGAAGTGTAAGATGTGAATGCAACGAAGCAGAAGGCCAGAAAGAGCTTCTAGTGAATGCACTCCAAGAACCAAGTTTGAGCATCCCCGTCGCCAGCATTCGTGAAAGACGTCCGTGGGCAATTCGAACGCGTAGCAGCCTTTTCGAGTTTTCGAATTTCTAATCAAAACGAAAGCAATACTTCAGTTCTTTTCACTATTATCGTGGATAATGAGTCTCAAGCCAGTGATTTATGGCTGAAATAGAATCATGATTTTTCCGCGCAAGATTCCTTTAAATGACCCTGCAATGGAAGACTATTTGGCATAAGGAGCAGACCACTCGTGTGTTAACAGTGTGCTGCACCTGCCACTGTACCAACACCGTACTCCACAGATAAATAAATAAATCTCGTGTAAACAACAAAAAATCATGTGTTTAGAGGTGGTTGTGTGGGGTGCAAGCGCAAACGAGAAATAAAGTAACGCTCCGATGCGCTTCGCAGGGTGAA